AAAAAATTGTGTAGATCACCGGAAATTTTTCGGAAAATAAACTTGCCCCTTGATTTTTAGGACATGTCACACGACTACTAGTTATATAGTAAATTCGGATACTTTTTTTTATTTTTGTGTAATGTGATATTCGTCCCACCTATTCTATAGAAGAACCCAATAATGATCCGTTTGTGCTGACCAAAATGTTAAGAGGTCGGTCATCCAAGTTTGTGATGATGAATTGACAAAAATTGACAATCATCAATCTGTTCTTTTGCCAGCCAAACAACAAAATGGAGGATAACAAATGGAAGATTTTAATAATCACATTACTAAATTTTGGTCCCTGAAATTTTTGGTAATACCAATGTTCAAATATAAAAATTTAAATTTAAAATTTTATTACTGTGTTTTTGTTCAGCATTATTATTATTAACATTTTCTTCTTCAACATCATCATTAGCAGGATGTTTGTTTTCTGTTATTTGTAATCATGACAAGATTATAGCTATCTTTATTATCACCCATTGTGTAAAAAAATTAGTCATATATACAATAATCTTCAAAAATAAATATTCATAAAAGAATCATTTTCTTACTGTTGATAATACGGAATCTTAACATTATTTTTTTATAGGATATTAGAAAAAAATGGTATCATATTTATTTGGTACCGATTAAAAAAAGATAATAATAAATTGTACTTTGTGTCTCAAAATCCAAAATTAATTTTTATTTTAGTTGTTGATCATAGTCAGATGATGTGTTAGCCCCTAAAATTTAGACGTTTCGTCCAACTTTGTGTTTAATTGTAATTTCCTTATTCCTTTCTCTCTCTTTTTCTAATTTCTAAATCCTTTAGTATTTGAAAGAAATTATTTATTATCATCGATTCATAAGAACAAAAATAATAATAATCATGTCTTCTTCAAATAATGTTACTGAAGGATCACGATTACTTCAAGATATTGCTGGTAAATTATTTAATTATTTAATTATTTATTTATTCAAGAAAATAATTTATTTTTTTTGAAAACCAAATTAAATATTAGATGAAGAGTCTTTTTCAACTAATAAAGAAAATAATACTAAACCATATGGACTCATCGCTTTATTTATATTTATTGTTGTAGTGATACTTCTTGTTTCATATGTACCTCAAAGATTATGTATGTATAATTAACCAATAATTTTAAAATCAATCAATCAATTATAATGATTAATTATTTCTTTTCTCTTCCTTCTGGACTACCGTCCAATTAAAAGATCCACCAGTACCAGACAATTCAACATTAATCCAATAATAATTCTAATTTTTGAAAATTATTTGGGTCGCATTAATATTGATAATATTAATTCAATGTGTTAAATTCACATGTATGCGAACTCAATATAAACAAAACAACCAATTTTATGTATTATATATAACCATATACATGTATATATATATACAATCGAATACTCATTATCTATCTTTGGATTTTTCTTCATTAAAAATATCAAAAAAATTGTTATTATTATTATTTTATTATTGTATAATTTGAGAGAAGTTTTAAAAAAGGGAAAACAGCCAGATATAAAAAATATTTGAGTTTTACTTTATAATTAATGGATTATTGAACAAAATAAGATGTTCACAAAAATCTTTAACTATTAAGAAATGGATGAAAAGCCTGTGTTCAGTGTATTATGAAAATCTTGTAAATCTTGACCAAAGAAAGGTTTGCATAAAAAACATCAACCATTCTTATTAGTTGCAGGCAGCGTTGGCAATTTAACTGGTTCGAATCTATTTGAACTTTTGAACTGTTAATTCAGTCAGTTTAACTTGCTGATCATTTGAACTTTGCTGAGCAGTTATTTAACCAATCTGCAAGTTATTTAACAGAGTTCATTCACATATGGAAAACAGTATCAAATATCAATACAAATAAAAAATAGTACCTCTGTTATTAACACGTCTTCTTTGGGAGACTCACGTTTTGTCATCTTGGGCTGTGTCAAAAAATAAATTGTTTTTTCAAAAAAAAAAATCAATTCGCGTCAGCAAAAAAAACCAATAGATAGGGTTTGTCGATCAAGTAATAATTATCCTTTTTCATTTTCTAAAATGCCAAAAAAGAATCAGAAACGGAAACAAGAAAAAAATTAGGAGACAGCTGCTGGGTAAGTGTTTATCATAAAAATGGTGATGCATACCGTCACTCTAGTTATTTAAAAAGAATGGTAATGGTTATTACCACTCGCAACTCTCGTCATTATCCCTTAAACGTACAGGGATTTTTGGTTCAAATTTGTGTAGATCTTCCGAGTAAATTCAATCCCTCTTTAAATTAAAATACTACTAACAAACCCCGAATCTTTTTGCATTTTCAATTAACATATATTCTGAAAAAATTATTTTAAAAAAATCGTACATACTGGAATTATATTTAAGGTTTTTTATAAATAAAGAAACATTTGTATTTTTTTTAAAAAAATTTTTTTTTGAAAAGTTCACTATATGGAAAATTTTAATTATTGATACTAGACCTATGGTTTTTAGACATAAATTATGTGATTTTATCTGCTTAACAAGTTCCATTAGTGGACTTTGCATACTATCTAATAATTTTAGTGAAGGAGATATAGGTTTATATAACTGTATCTTACTATCAAAAAACGTGATCTGCAAGAAAATTTTCATAACAAAAAAATGGGTATTTTTACATTTTACACAGCCAATCCAAGGATCTACAACAAGGGTTAACCTTACTATTTGAGGCGTCGATCCTAAGGTTAAACCTCTTACCGGTAAACCATCACCCAATCTACTAATTAAAATTGGGGTTACACATAACCACCAAACCACCCAGACACCCCTGTTAAAAGGTTGAACCTCATGTTTTGAGAATGTAGATCCTTGGATTGGGTGTAATATAGTTAATTATCCCAAAAAACTTATAGAAATAGTGTATTCAATTCCCTTTTCTAGAATATCACCCAACATCATTGATCCCTGTCATTCAGAATTATTCAGTGTTTGTACAACCACAAATAAGATGAATCTGATCTATTTGAACTATTGAAATAAATAAATAAATATCATTCATCAATTGCTCTTTTAATTTTCTTAAAGAAATTTTATTTGTTTGAAATTACATATAAAAAAGATTATTTTTAAAAATGTCTGGTTCACGTGCACTTAACGATGAAGAAGTTTACAATGAAATGAATAAGATGGTAGAATATTATAAAGAAAAATAATTATTTTATAAATAGTGTTTATAATGCCCAATATTTTTTGTAGGTTACCTTCATCAGACAAGAAGCTATTGAGAAGGCTCGTGAAATTAAAGTAAAGGTATGTATATATATGACCGAGTAAACTTTTTATTTTATTTATATGATAATTAGAGTCATTATTTAATGCATTAGAGATTTTAAGATTTGAATACTTGAATAATTGGATTCTTTATTGTATTAAATAGGCCGACGAAGAATTTAACATTGAAAAGGTAAGCGTGATAAATAAATATTTTAATGATTGTTATTTAGTCTGAATTGAATTTTTAAAAATAAATAAATATTTGAAGGCTAAACTTGTGCGTCAAGAATCAATTAATATTGAGGCATTATTTCAAAGAAAATTCAAACAAGCTGAAGTACAAAAAAAAATGTAGTTATTTTATTTGTTATTATAGGCTATATATTATACATGTTATAATTATTTTTTTAAATAATAACTTAATTGTTAATAATAATTTAGTGCTCAATCAAATCATGTTAATAAATCACGTCTCAAAGTTCTTCAAGCTCGTCAACAATTACTTGATGAGCTTTTCTTGGACACTAGAAATCAGCTTCAAAAAATTACACAAGATAAAGACCGTTATTCTACGTTGTTGAAAGATTTGATATTACAAGTTTGTGATTTTTCTTCTTTATACGAATAAATAAATAAATAAATACTTTTCATCTTCATTTTCATATTAATAATGATAGTGATAATAAATAATATTTTCTTCTTCTTCTCAAGGGTCTTTATCAACTTATGGATGAAAATGTGACAGTTATTATTAGGAAGTGTGATTTGGGTTTAATCGAGGATGCAATTAAAATTTCATCAGGTCTATATAAAGAATCTACTAAATTGCCAATTAAGATTGAAGTCAGCAAAGAAAACTATTTAGCAGATGACGGGTAATTTGTTATATGTATATATATGGTATAATCAAATTCAAATGGTGTCCTAACAAAAAAATTACTTTTAAAATATATTTATATAGTGCTGGTGGTGTTGTTTTAAGTTCGTATTTTGGCAGAATAAAGATTAATAATACTCTGGAAGAACGATTAAGTTTAGCACAAGATGAGGTAAATTTATATATACATATATTGGCTAAGAAAAAGGGCAGATTTTATTAGTGGTTGATTAATCAATCGTCTTTTGTTATTTTTTATCTTAGATGCTTCCTGAACTTCGTGTCTTACTTTTTGGACACTCGCCTAATAGAAAATTCTTTAATTAATTTTTATTTATTATTATTTTATTTATAATTTGTATTAATTGTTACAATAATGTTCAATTTATATATTATTTATAATTATAGCAGTTGCTTATTTATTGTTTTTTTTATATTAAATTTTATAAACATAAAAATATTAATTTGAATATTATAACATCATGGATTTTTTAAACACTGCTATTTCACTTTTCAAAATCATTGATTATTTTCTCAAGATTAATCCACATACATTCATTAATTTTCTTTAACATAATATTGATTACCCTACGGTCAATCAATTCTGCAATCAGTATTATCTTATCATAATGATAGTTAAAGATTATAAAACAAATTAATGTAATTTTTGTTAAACATTTGTTCGCTTTATATATTGATTGCATTCCTATGAGCAAAAGCATGGTGGACATTCTTTGTTGTCACATTTGTGCAAAACAATTTTATCACCTGATGTTGCAAATTTGTTTAAATGAATGCAACGCATTTCTTAAAGATTGATCAAGATTTAAATCATCAGTTAAAATCAATTCTTCAGCTCTATCCAGATCAATGTTTTCATCATTGTCTATAATATTTTCCTCATCCCCCTCCTTGTTTAGTATAGATGTATTTTCCAAACTTTCCAATCTATCATTATATAAATTTCCTAAATCTTGATGCCATTCAATAAATAATGAAGAAAATGCTGACATTTGAACTGTAGGTCTTGAAGACATTTATAATGATATTCATGTCACAAATTAACACAAATCATCATCATTGTTATCACCTACTCTTTCACAATTTTTGTAATCACAGCAGGAAACAAACTTGGGTAGATAATCAGTGCAATATCCAGTTGGTAATGTAGCCACTTTCATTTTTAAGTTGAATGTTGGAAATATATAAAATTTATCATCTTTTTCTGGCATGTCTTTAGATATATTCGAATTTGCTAATATTTTTTGAAAAAATTCAATTAAAAATAGTGCTGATTTCTTAACCATATTATCAAGACTCTTTTTTTTGAATGGGTAATTTTTTTTAGTTATAAATGGCTTCATGAAATCTGAATTGTGTTTGTCAGTTGTGTAGCATCAGATCAAGCTATGAAAATTTCAATAAAATATTCATTGAATTCTGATAAATGTTCTTTAAGTGCATCATATATTGGATGTTCTATACTTTGCCAGTATAAAACATCGGAAAGAAAGGCTAACATTATTTTATTATAATTTTTTCTTCAAAGTGCTTCATAATAGATCACAATCAAAAAATTGTTGACATGTATTCATAAAAATGGTCTTCTTGAAATAAAATTGTATAAATATCCAAACAAGCTGGTGCTATATTATCAAACAGATCTAAAAAGGTTCTATATTCAATATCTTTATTATTTTGAATTTTCTTAAAATTGTTCTTCTAATTATCATCCATCCAGAATGAGCTAGATAAAGCAAAAGGTTTGTCATCCATGGTTGAGCTTCATTGCAAGATTTTTTTTCTTTTTAAACTTCTGTAAGAATTACTTTTCTTAACAATAAAACAATATTATAATGTTTCTTTTTCAAACAGGTACTTTAATTATTGTAAAAATACAAGTTATCTTTATTAACTTAAAATAATGTCCTTTATATAATAAAATTACAGTGGTTTCTCTTGTGTTTAGTGAAACATGTAAAGGTCCCAATAAAGGAACTAAATGCAAAATTTTTTCTGGAATATTTGATGAATCACCATATCTCCTTTGAAGAGTAACTGCTTTACGACTAAAATATTGCCCAGGATAATCAGCTGGCATCAGAATTATATTTTCTGATAAATAATCATTGAGGGCAGGTGAATTGATAAAAGGGTAAATTGTTTGAAGATAATCATCTAATGATTTAAATTCCTGAGGGATAATTTTAATAAATTTAATTTTTTATTTTCTGGGTGGGTAATTTGAAAATCAGGATCATAAATATGAAGTGTTAAGAAATTAATTGTTTCTTCTTCTGTAAATTTAGAAGAATCAGCCATACAGAACCATGATGACTTTTGGTTAATTCCCAACTTTGACATATACTCTAATTGCAATGCCCAGGAAACCAAATCAACATCAATATTTGTAGGATCATGCACCTGCTCACCTAATGGTGTTATATATGGTAAAGATAATATATTTGGTGTATAGATCATGGTAGTTGCCATATGAGCAACATTTGATAGACTTTCATTACTTGGATTTTGGGATTCATCAATAAGAAAAATAATTAAATTTGTACCTTTTTTTTCAAGATATTTAATAAATTCATTTTCATGATTCAAAAGAATTTGATCTTTTTTTTCTTGAAACTGTTTTGTAAGTTGATGTAAAACCCAAATTTGCTAAAGTATTAATTCATGATGTAGATGTACCAGTGTTTGACATATATAAGGCTATTTTATTTTTGACTGAATTAACATGCTTGTTTCTAAGACTGACCATTTGGTAACAAAGGATCATAACTTTCTTTTTCAAATTTTCTTTTGTAATTGAATTTTTTGATGAAGGATTCATGCTGTTAAAAAGCATATCAAAGAAGCCTATTAATGTAAGGTCTCTTTCCTCAATTATTTTAACAAACTCATCAGGATCATTTATTGGATCATTTTTTTCATTATGTTGATAATTATATAAAACAGTGGTTAATCTTTTTATTTGATCATTAAAAAAATTTGAAAATTC